GCGTGCGTGCGTGCGTGTGTACATGTACACTCCCCCGTGCGTGTGTGCGTGCGTGTGTACATGTACACTCCCCCATGCGTGTGTGTGTGTGTGTGTACATGTACACTCCCCCGTGCACGCTGCGCTTCTCAGCCCCCCGACTAACATGGGGGTGTTGTCACCGCAGGAGAAGATCAGCGAGGACCTGAGGGCCACCCTGAACGCGTTCCTGCACAGGACTGGGCAGCACAGCAGCAAGTAAGGGCCCCACTGCTGCCCCGCGCCGCAGGGAGAGGGCCACGCTGAGGCTGGGCCTGGCACGGAGGCTTGAGAGGCCTCGGTCGGCCTCCCTCCACCACCCCTGCTCTCCTGGCCTTCAAGGCCTCTGGGCGGGCCCCCGCACTGGTCCGCGTGGGGCAGCTGCAGCCCTGGGGGACGCCCGCCCCCAGCCGCTTCTCTGCTCGCCCCCCAGGTTCATGCTGGTCCTGGCCAGCAACCAGCCCGAGCAGTTCGACTGGGCCATCAACGACCGCATCGACGAGATGGTGAACTTTGCCCTGCCCCAGCGGGCGGAGCGCGAGCGCCTGGTGAGGCTGTACTTCGACAAGCACGTGCTCAAGCCGGCCACCGAGGGCAAGCAGTGAGTCCGGCCCTGTCCCCCAACCACCTCCCACAGCCCTTGCATCCAGGTGCTCCTACGCAGTTGTGTCTCTGCGCCTAGGCTTAGGGGCCCTGTCACCTCCCTTCCCTCTCCCCAGGTTCCCCTGCTCAAGACCCAGTGGGTCTGATACCTGCCCCGCGTGCGGGTACTGCGGGGCAGGTGCCTCCTGAACTTTGTTTTGTGCAAACATCTCGATTGCTCCCCCCCAGATTAGAACGTTCCCCCACAAGCCTCTGAGAAGGTTGGCTGCATTCCCAGATGTCTGCGTCTATCCCCTAGAGGTCAGTGCCCTGCACATCTCCACTGGACTTCAGAGATGCCTCCCCTTCCCGGCTTCCGCAGCTCTGACTGGGGGCCCGGCAGCCACTCCTGGGAGCCCTTTTGAGGGGCTGGAGGAGGGCCTTTATTTGTCTGTTTCGTTGTTGTCGGGACCACACACAGCACAACATAGACCAGCTTCAGTCTCTGGGTGGGTGGGGGTGGCATGCTCACCCTCCCCCGCGAACACGGACTCCCGGTCTCCTCAGTAAGGTTCCTGTCGGAGCTTTGGAATCGCGGGGTCCGTGTGACTCCCTGGAGAGAGGCCTGGAGGGAGCCTTATGAACTCACCTCGAGACTTTGGGGGGTGCGTCTCGTCTTAGATTCCAGGTGCTCTCAGGGCAGTTCCAGCATCTTTGTGGCTTTCCTGTTTGCCGACAGGCATGGTTTTGTTGCTCGTGGTCTGTAAACACGGGGCCGTGGCATCGCGCCTCTTGAGCCAGCTTCCCAAGGGGAGGACAGAGTCTGGGCTCAAAGCTGACTGTGGGGCCCTGGCCACACACACCTCCCCCTGCCAGCCTTTTTGACCGTCTCTGACACCAGCCAGCCACTCCCTCCTCTGCCGGCTGCCTTCATGTGTCGCAGCGGCAGGGCTGTGGGTTCACTAGGGGAGTGGTGGCGAGTGGCCATTTGACACGAGGGTCAGGTGGCACGTGGGCATGTCTTCATTGCAGGGCAGGCCTCTCCGCTCCTCTCAGCCCCATCTGGACGCGGCCTTGCCCTGCCAGTCGGGCACTCTGCA